TTGTTGCAGCAGTTATTTCATCTTGCATCTCTGGGTGTGTGTTCCTGCCTTTGTCTGCGTTGAGAAAAATGTATTGTGTGTCAAAGTACCGCCTCTGATGTTAACTAAGTAAGTGTGTGTGTGTGTGTGTGTGTGTGTGTCTGTGTGTGTGTGTTTGGCTGTGTGTGTGTGTGTGTGTGTGTGTGTGTGTGTGCGTGCGTGCGTGCGTGCGCGTGCGCGCGCTAGCAGTGCTGGGTGAAGGCTTTTGTGCCCATGGTGTCAGCTGCAGCTCGGAATCATGGTCCTGCATCGGCTCAGAGCAGCAGATTCTTTGACAGCTGTGCATACAGTTTACAGACAGTGTTCCATAGGATTGTGTTGAAACCAGATTATTGTAGCTGGAGAGTAAAAGCTCACTGACCGGCTGTTTGCTGTAACTGCAGTTACGTGGAAAGGATTACCAACATAGGATTTTATGATGAGCCTTTTCAGTTAGATTGGTTACTTAGAAAGGGGGAATTAGTGTTCCTTCAACATTCTCATGATGTTATGCATTTTTAGCTATTTTATTGACATTTCATGTAAAATAATGGCCATCTTTCTGCAGATATAGTCCTATAATGTATTATCTAACACTAAACAAAGAGAAGCTACCCTAACACTGCAGTTAGAGCAGCTGTATTTTATTTGATTACAATATGTACCACAGTCGATTACAATACGTTCGTCGCTCAACATATACAATACATTCCTAAATTTGTCTCTCTTTTCATTTTGTGTCACAGCTGTATTGACACTGTTGTCTAACTAAAATATGATGCACAGTCCCAGATGTGGGTTTTTGTTCTAAATAGACGACTTTAAAAGGTATACATCTTATATACCTTGACAAGCCACTCATATATAAGGTTTCCCACACATCTTGAAAAACTTAAATAAATTCTACTTGATTTGAACTGTTACTTATAAGCTGTGGCAAAATTAATGTTACGGTTTGTGAGCAAATGCTGTCCTGTATTGTCAAGAAAACCCCTGGAAAATGTCCTGGAAAGGTCCTGGAAAACTATTTCTTAAAAAGAGTGGGAACCCTGATATATACTTAAATGCGCTCAACTAGGGTTCCAAATTATTATCAGTTACAGTGACCTTTAGAAGAAAACAGAAGGGTTTTGGGGTTTTTTTTTTGGTTGTTGTTTTTTGGTTGATCAAGTGCTTTATTATAATTTTCTGAGATATTATGTCCTATATTTTTTAACATTAAAGGGTAGAATTCAATGTTTTTTTATGATAACACTAATATAGTAGATTTCATAGAATATCAAATGTACATGGTATTATTATCATGCCTCGCTATACCATGGTTTTGGTATAGTGCTGCAACCCTACACTCAGCTGTATCCAGATGGGGTCAAGGGAGATGTCTAATTTTAAAAAAAACAGACAGATTCTTATACTGTTACTGAAATAAAGAGCTTTTAACCTCTTCCATTCTCTTGAAAATATAGCACAGACATATACGTCACTTAAATGAACAGTATTGTAGTTCCAATGTTGGTTATCGCAATTTAAGTTTAATTTTAGTTGCCAGTATTAGACTTCAAAAACCAGGCCCAAGCCAGAAAATATTGTGAAACCCCGACCTAGCTTTGCTTTTGTCAGTCCTAGAACCTCGTTCTCCTCAAGAACAGTTGTAGTTCCAACTTTGGCTCTTCGTTTGCCAATACATACAGCACAACTTCCGCAAGCAACAGTCTGCAGACACTAACACTGTTTGGCATTTGCTGTCATATTGAAAGAAAGGTTTAATACTTGTAAGGCATGGCAAATGCACAAATACACAAAGACCACGTCAAAACACCATGGAAACAAGGGTGGCAGAGTTGTGGGGGGGGTGAAAGGAAGGGGAAGAAAAAGCTGGAAAGAGAAGCTGGTTACTCTATCATCAGGCCCATTAAGAGCTTCCCCCATTGGAACACTTAGGCAGCATTCAGACTGACAAAAGCAATGTGTCAAAAATGCAATCTCCTTGTTCTTTTCAATTAGACTACTGCATTTTGGTGCAGTGGGTTGGAGGGTGTTGCTGCAGAGGCATGCTGTATCATTAATCCTGTTAATCCTGACCTGGGATTTTTCCATGACTCCGTACTGATCCATTCTGTTACAAAATGGACTGGCCAATCAAATGCAAAATGAAATTTCAGGTAAAAAACAATGTTGCATTTACTGTGTAGAAACATGCAAAAGGTTCAGTAAGCTTTGTACGTTTGTACAAACACACCCAAAGGTGGGGTCAAAAGCCTGCCGTTGTAGGAATCGATAAGGCATAATAAATTGTTCAAATGGTGTTGCGCTTGGTTGTCCACAAAAAAGGTGTGAAGAATTAAAAAGAGAGCTTGAGCTCATTAACCAATGACATTCCTAACCTCAATAGCAAATATTAGCATGCTAACATGCATGATAGCATTGTTGGTCATAGTGAAAACATTAACATGCTTACATTAGCATTTAGCACTGTTTTGCCTAAGTACAGCCTCATACCACTGCTAGTGTGGGTGTAGTTTTGCAATGTTTATGCAATTTTTCATGCACACTAAGCCTTGCTGGCTTTTTGATTTGATTTATTTGACATCTCAAAATATATACCTTGTCAAACGCTGTAACAAATACATACATATTCATTAAAATGTCGAAGATAACAAAAGAATCTGAAAGATTTCCATTGTGACTCACTGATGTTGGTAAAAATCGACTCGACCAGAGATATCACACTTTTCCCCAAGTGTTTACAGGATAAGGATATTTTTGTAATGAGTTTTAGATGTTTACGTTGCTCTGTTACACAGTGATTTATATTCTAAAATGGCTACTTTGCTCCACTGTTTGCCTTTGGTACACCCAGTGTGTGCATGTGTCAGAGTTTTGAATGGGATAAGCAGATCTCTTTCCACCATAAAGAAGAAAAGGAGCAATGGTAATGACTGGGAAGGCAGACAGACCTTGACACAGTAGAGTCGGTCAGTGGAACATGGTGTGCTGCAGGAATATTCAACATGGCTGAGGTCATCTGTGTCTTGTAATGGATGAAAGTCTTCACATTATGAGTTCGTCATTTGAATAATGTCCAGATTTCTCTCAGTGACTTGGCAATAGCTGTCCACTGTTTAAACTTGTTATTTCCTAATCGTGTCTTGCCCTGCATGGCTCTAGTCTGCAGGAAGGGGGTTTCCTTACTGATCAAGTTGTCAAATCAGCCTTCCTAACCTTCAGAATTTAAATACAGTCAACGCTAGCCTGCAGGTGTTTTTGTAATGTTACTTTTTTGATTCTGAACTCCATTTATAGTATTTCCACATTTTGGGTCATTGTGTTTACAGGCACAATTTAGCTTACTTTGACCTCCCTCTTGAATGTCCATGCTGAGACTGATGAAGCATACAACTGCACTCAGTATGCAGAGGCAGACTAAATAGGCTGTTGAAAGCACTTAGTCCTATGGCTCAAGAAACAAAACTAACACCGCATTTCACCCCTGCATCCTCAGCCAACGCGGCACCACAGGCCTCGCCAAGGGTGACAGAGAATAGAGGACCGGTAGAAGCTTTCCTCGCACAGAGAGGGAAGGGGCACAGGGGACGGGGGGTTGGGGAGTCTTGCTTGATTAAGATTTATGTCTAAATTTTCCTTCACCAGCAGTCACTGCCTGCTGTTGGAAAGGCTCCCTCATGTAACCTTCTTCTTTGCCGTGTTGATAGAAAGGCTTCTTGTAAATGTGTTGCATGACAAAGCATTTCCCGTTTTGCCCTTCATTTTACTCCCTTTCACTATGTGGACCCTCAGAAGGGGTCGGCCAGTGGGACATGGTGGAAACAAACACTATGTGAATACTCCAGGGAGCTGCTGAGAGAAACAATGTAGGGATGGTTGGAGCTAAATGTGGTCTGATGTGCAGTTTATTGGCAGACGGTTTGACGTTGTCTCCCTGAATTTTCACAAAAGACTCTGATTATCCGGGATGTACATCTGTTTGTTTTGAAATAGTAAATTTTCCTTGTGGGCATCCCTTTGAAATATAAAAGAATTGCGTGCGAGGGCTGCATTTGCCACAATGTTAGCGATGATGATGGAGATTGTCAAGTTAGCTAGAAAAGAGGTTGGACACATGATAAGCCAGTGGCTGGCTAAGTCTCAAATGCGATCTTACAAAATTGTTGAAATAGCTGGATATTTTTTGAAAAAAAAAAAGATTAGTGCAACAGCTGTGTTCCACATAATTCTTCTTAAGAAAGTCTGCTTTTCATATTGGCATGTACCCTCTTTGGGCTTTTGAATGTCCAGATCAGTGCTTTTTGAGTAGTTTAGGACCTCCACTAGGGGTCGCCAAACTTCATGGGGGGTTGTGAGGCCTTCTTGATTTTAAGGCCTGCTAGCAAACTTTAGAACTATACAAGTAGGCCTATATCTCGTATATCTGGTTTGTAAAATAAAGTAAATTGTCTAATAGAACAGTGGACTAGTGCCAGGGAGAAGTAAACTTTGAATTTGTAAAAAAGAAGCATATCTAGTAAATAATACATGATAATGACAGAATTATATAAAATGTTTCCTAAACAGTCACTCTGATAGGCCCCCTTTGTAAAAACAGAAATCAATTTCATCAATATCCTTTCATTCTTCCTGATTATCAAAGATGGTAAAAATTAATTATTCATAGGACCGTCTTTACAAAAAGGTAAAAAGCGCTTGAACTGCGTTAGTTGGGTTGCAGTTACTCGAGTAAAAGGTGGTACGTTGCTGTAGACAGTTGTATTTGGTGGTTGAATGCATTTTTTAATATGTGAAGGGAGTGTGATTAAGTTAAAAAGGGTGTTAAGTTGCTCTCTAAAACATAGTTTGGTCATAGACACATTTTGAATTTTGTTTAATACTCAAATCTCTACTGCTTTAGTTACGTGTGTTTCATCAGTTGTTACTTGAGGACTGCATAAAGTATTTAGAGACTGACTGTATGTGTTTCTTTTCAGGACAAGCCCTCCCTACTGTTGTGCTGACCTGTATTCTCTACGGACGGGGGAAATGGTCAAATCAATTCAGTTCAAGACGCCCATCTATGATCTCCACTGCAACAAACAGTATGTCTGTTGGACCAACTGATCTAAAAAAAGAAACTCAAGACCCTGATATTTTATCATACACTGCATGTATTATTTTCATTCAATTAATGTACTATTTTCTCCCTCTTCAAGCATTCTTGCTGTGAGCCTACAAGAGAAGATTGCAGCGTTTGACAGCTGCACCTTTACTAAGAAGTTCTTTGTTACAAGTAAGAAACTTAAACACATGCATTTACTACATAGAAATCTTCACCCAAGTTTAAAAAAATGCAGTATAATACCTGTTTTTGAGGATTATGTGTGTGTCCATAAACCTATTTTAGAGTTTAAGATATTTTAGCGGTATCTTACCTCTGTTTTTCTGACTTCCTATTTGTTTTATAAAGGAAAAATCTGCCACATTTTATATGGATGTCGAGTTAGTGTTGATGGAAAATTCCTCACTGCAAGATATTTTTATGGAAAAAAGTCTGCAAAATCTGTCATTTGACATGTACAGTGATGTAGTTTGTATAAGGGAAGAACTATTCATACTTTGCAGTCACATGATTACCATGGTTACCTGGCGGGCAAGAAACATATATTTACATATATCTGTTACCTTACACCGCACAAAAAATGAAAGCCTACAAAAGTATGGATAGCTATCTTTTTTTCAAGAGTGGATGGGTTAACAGCGCTGTCGTATGGGAGGTGAAAAACAGGAATATCTTCATAATGAAAGCTAACGGGAGTGTTACTAGTTAGCTAGCTAACGTTACCCGCTAACGTTTGCTAACGTTTGCATGTTTGTAGCTATACACAAAGTGACATCTGTTCCATCGTGTGATGATGTCTTCATCTGAATATGTACACCCTGCCTGCCGCCAATGACAGCTTGATAAGCAACGTAAGTTTAAAAAAAACCTTATACTAGTCTGTATCATATATGGCTAACAGGATGTCAGACATTGTAGCCTACCTGCTCATCCACTCCACATAGCATCAGACAACAGACAAGAGCAGCTGGGGCAGCGAAATGCCTTTAACCCTGTTAGCAATCTGTTAGGTTGTAACGTTAATGTAGTAGTAATAACTGTACCATAGTATGTATGCAAAGTAACTGTAAGTAAGTAGACGCAGTACAGAACAGTAACGTGTGTACTGTAACATGTATTCTTCTTCTCATCATATCATATCAAATCACGTACATATGATATATATATATATATACTTTTGTATAGTAAAACTGGCGACGTCCTGGCAAGATCCTTGATTAGTTTACTGGGTTCCGTTGCTGGAGAACGATGTTCTTGCCCGCCAGCTAGTAGTTGTGACGTCACGTGCAAAGTATGAATGGGCTGTTTCAGTTTGGTGCCTGAAGGTAACTTATGTGTGTATCTTGTGCTATGTGTAAAAAGAAATGGTCAAACTGCAGGAATTAATTTGCTTGGCAATGTTGTCTAACTGATCAGCACCCAGCAGCTAACTTGGCTTGCTCAGGGGGTGTGGGTGTGAGAACCTTCCTGCAGTACATACTGGTACACGTAGACTCTGCCAATATAGCACGCACTGGGAAATGTATTGCTTCAATTGACCCTTCCCAAGCCCTGCCCCTCTTGGAACCTCAGTCAACTCCTTTCCTGTACTCCTGTAGATATGCTCCCTATGTTGAAAAGACAACCGCTTTCTGTAGATGGTTAATGGATAAAAGTGACATATAATCACATCTTAAATTAGATAATTAGATTAGGTAACAAAACGCTAACTAGCTAGCTAATCTATCTCAATCTTTACGTAGCTAATTAGCTTCCATTTTGCCAACATTAGCTATCAGATGTATCTGGCCAGCTAACGATGGATGTAAATTAGCTAGCTAGTCAGCTAGCGTTTTGCTAACATTTGCTAACTTAAGGTGTGACTATATGTCAGTTTTATCATTTAACCCTCTTCCAAATGTGGTTGTCTTTAAAACATAGACGAGCCTAGCACATAGCACATCAAAGTACAGGATAGGGCCGAGGCTTGCTTAACTGTCATTGGAGCACAGAGAGAGAGAGAAAATGGGCTGGACTGAAAATTCTTGACTACATTTACCATCATCCCTGATTGGACATGTTATTCAGATTACAAAGAAGTTAGATTTTCTGTAGACTGCAAATTATTTTAGTTTGTTGCCAATGGAAACATTTATGAAATGTTGGATCTGACCGCTGTGTTCTGTACCATATGCAGTAGCACAAACAAACAGCGCCAGTCGTGTAAGATGGGTTGTTTTTTTTCAACACTAACCTTGCCAAACATGATCAGTTATTCTATCATGCTGGCATCACACAAGCCAAATAAACACAAAGCAGATCATTGATTATAATGCAAGCAGCCACCAAGGCCCGCTGCAGTTTGGTTCTCTCAAGCTTTGCATTGCAACTGAAGTGCTTTTATCAAAACATGATGTGAGGCCCTCCTTTTGAAGCTCAACACAAGAAAACTGTTTACAACACAGCTCTTGCATCCTCCTGGCTGTACCTGCCATGTCTGCTCAAGGAGGCTGTGAAAGAAAGGCCAGACTGTATTACATGGCCATTGCTGTCCACTTAAGTCATTGACTGGAGTAAACTGACCTTACTGGCTGGCTTTAATGTGTCTCCTCTTTGTCTGCCTGCCTTCCCTATCAGTGTCTGGGCCACAGGAAACCAAACATGCTCAATAGTTATTAATCGTTTCTGAATGCAGGGGCCTCCTCTTCATAACGTTGTTTGGTCTGTTTGGGCCGTAAAAGCAGTAAACAGAGGGTCCTGTAATGTGCTGCAGCTCTGCTTCAGATGAGCCATTCTACTATTGTATGTCCGTTTCTTCTCCAGGGATGTGATGGTGGACATGTCATGTTTTTATGAGCACTTAAGGCTCGTCCCATGTTTATGTTCTTGCTTTGCATTCAAGTGGTGCATACTGTGAGCGGGGACTTGATTCCACAGCCTTGTCTTTCATGTCTAACAACTCACAATGATCATGGTTTGGTACCTACTGTGTTTTCATACAGTAAAAGTGTGTCTGTCGCTGCTTGTATATTCGTGCCATGTAATAACAATAATCACGACTCTGACTTACCAGCCTTTTAGTTTTAAAAGCCCAATGTGTGACATTTCTATCAGGATCTATTGTCAGGGATGGAATATAATATAAATATACTGAATATTCATTCCTAATTTTTGTTGTTCACATTCATTTAGAAATGTGGCCCATATCAGATTCCAGTGTTAACAGGTCAAGCTCCTGAAATGACTCGCATGACGATCGTAGTGAGTGAGATGTGAAAGTCGCACAGATTATGATATGACCTGTATCTGATTTGGACCACAGGAGTTTTAATCGAAAAGATCAGATTCCATGTGATTTGTGCTGTTCACACATAAAGAACTCTGATCGGAGTCACATGTGACCATATGAGCAAAGAAATCTGATGTGGCTCACTTTGGCCTGCAGTCTCATTCTCCATTTATCCCCTCATAGCTTTCACAACACTAAAAATCAGACAGATGTAGGGTTTATTAGAGTGCTCAGAAAACTGTACTTGTCCAAAGCAACGTCCATATCTGGCCCTGGGTTTGGTTGGTTGGTAAAGATAATTCTATCCATTTCTTTCACTAATACAATTCATCCAGCCTTACATTTGGAGCTGGATGATTTGAGACCTCTTAGCTTCTCAGCTAATTACATTTTTGATTCTCTTTGTCTGAATCATAAAACTACCTTGAGCCAAAAACATTTAGTGTAATGTACAAACAATGCAGCGATCTTTCCAGTGTGCTCGACTTGTAGACCTGCACATCAGCTGAGCTGCTCACAAGGTGTGTTCATGCATACAGATCAGAGTTGCTCGTACAGTTTTGACTGTAGGACAGTGAAATCCTCACACTGAGAATACTCTCATGAGTACATGAGTGCATTTGCTTGTGCAGATCTCTCTGTTTTGTTCACATTTTGTAGTCATTACTCCGCTCAAATCTGTTTACTCTCTCTCTATTTATTGCAGATTTTTCCATTGACTGGGTGAGCTCTGTCTGGTCTGTCTGCAGTGACACATGTTGACGCAGGCTGTTTTTCATGTTGATCATCCAGTGCATCTTGGCTGCAAATAAGGATTTTGTTGGCCTGTTGAGAGACGTTGTTGGCTTGTGCTAGGCCTGTACAGTTGTAGGAGGATCACAGTGTATATTGTAGGGCCTTTATTTACAGTTTACTATATGAGAATAAGGCAGTTACTGTTATTGGTAGAAGTATTTCTTGTTGAAACAGTAGCAGCAGCATCAATAACAGTAGATGTTTTATTTAGTGTCTAACTTTAGGAAACTTGTAAAGAAAATGTAAAGTTGAAATATGTAATATCAGCCTGTGAGGACCACGCTCACAAAGGTCTTTCTGGGTTCGTCTTTTGAAAGCCTGAACCCTGCTTTTCTTTTCCTTTCATTCCACCTATCGTGTATGTTTCCTCTCCCTGCTCAGCCCCCTGCTCTCCACCCAGGATGTCAAACACATGTTATCTCACCGCCCGGGCTCCCTTCAGCCTTGGAGAGGCACAAAAGGCTTCTCTGGCGTTACCAGCAGCCCTTGTGGCTTACCTCAACCCCCCCCCTTCTCCCCACCAACCCCTTCCCCAACACAGCACACTAAATTACTGTCTCCACCTCATCTGCTCCCTGAGCACTAAATTATTGTCAGCAAACCATTTCCCCCACACCTCCACGCACTTACATTAGGTCTGTGTGTGTGTGTGTGTGTGTGTGTGTGTGTGTGTGTGTGTGTGTGTGTGTGTGTGTGCGCGTGTGCGCGTGTGCGCGTGTGTGTGAGAGAGTGAGACTAGTGCCCGTGTTCTCAAACACAGCGGGTGTGATCATTATTGGATCAACATTTTGTTTCCCGTATGTTTACGCATACTGGAAACAGGCAGACTGTCACTGTCTGTTTCTGCTAGCATTTAAAGATATTTATGACAGTATCAATCATCTCTTCACTCTGTTTACAAGCACATGTTTGCCTGTTTTTGGTTGATTCCGTCTTGCAGCAGGAGTGATAGACAGTCGGACTCTCAGTTTTGGTGTTAGTCATAGCAATCCGCGTCCTTGTTTACTTCCACATCTGTTGGAGTGGGAAGAGAAAAATACGTTCTTACAGTGTCCGAGACATTTATCTGTTTGTGAATGCACAGCTTTGTTTGTCGTTTAGGATTATTGGTCGCTATTTTTATTTCTGCTGACAGTACACCGATTGTGTTTGCGTGTAAATGTGTGCATGTTTGCGTGTGTGTCCCCGCAGGGATTACTGTGTTGGTCAATCAGCGGAGGAGCCATCCTCAATTTATTGGGTACCACAGTCTCCATTAGGTCATAGTGTGCACACACACAAGCACACAGACACGTCACCCTCATTAGACTCCCATTTATCTTCACAAACAAGAGACTCCCCACAAACACATTAATGGTTTAAGATAGTTACAGACACTCTTCAGGGAGGGGGATTATGAAAGTCCCTGCATATGTGTTCCTGATTTTTTTTTTTTACTTTTGATCATGAAGTTATTTACCAAAATGTGTATGAATGTTTATTTCTATTGTAATTATCATTGGTGCCCCTATTAGCCTGACCATCTTTGTGTCTTTTCAGGTTGCTATCCCTGCCCCGGCCCCAGCCTCAACCCAATAGCTCTGGGAAGCCGCTGGCTGGCCTACGCTGAGAACAAGGTAGTCTACACACACTCACATACACACACACACACACACACACACACACACACATCCTTCGCAGAAGTGCCTTATCAGAAAAGCGACATATTTACTATCCAAAAAATGCATTTTATCTATTTCCTGCCTCTTTAATCTGTCTGGATAAACAACTCATTCCAAGAAGAGTCCAAAAGAGATGATAACATTTTGAAAATCAACAGATGCACGGGAGTTTTCTGTTCTCTCCTGTTTAATGGGATTGTTAAGTATTTACACAAACCAGAATGTTCTACTGCACACTCTGCAATACATTTAATGCACAATAGTGTTTTGGTGCTGGCCCACTCAAGTAATTGACAGATGGGACCACTGTTTGTGTGACTGCATAAGGATTTCCAGAAATGACAAAATCTAGTTTTTTTTAACCGTAAGAGTAATACTGGGGCAGAGCCATTCAAGTGATATTGTATTTGAAATTAAATCAGTACAGATTGGCTGTTTGGTTTCGTAATGTTCCTTTGAAAGCAAAACCAATTTCCTCCCAAGAGTGAAGAGGGGAGGCTTTTGGATGTCTGAAATCACAGTTAATTTCCCCACATTTTTTCCCTTTTCGTACATCTATTTATCTGTAAATCTTTGTGTCTTTGCAGTTGATCAGATGTCACCAGTCTCGTGGAGGAGCTTGCGGTGACAACGCACAGTCTTATACAGCCACAGTGATCAATGCAGCCAAAGTGAGTGACAATACATGCACACATTGACCTGTTTTTCCTTTTTTTCTTAATTTCTTATGTATATACCTTAGGCTTGTTACCTTGAACACTTCAACATGATTGAGCTGAAGTGCTGGATATCACAAACTTATGACCAGGCAATCATTTATTTTGTGTTGTTCCATAGATAGGGCTCAGCATTTAGAGATTTTCTTTGTTTTTTCCTAAAAATATATATTTTTTGATAATGGAAATATCTAAGTAGTATAGAACTACCGAGTATAAAACACTATTCACAGCTCAACCCTTTTAGTTTTCGTTTTAACCGTTGACAGTAAATATAATGGAGTTCCGGGTCAGTCAAGTGAAGCCAGTGCAGAAGTGTCTTAAACTTGCATTCTTTCTAATGGCCATAGGGGAGCAGCTCCATAGGCTACAAAAAACAAGACACTGAAGGCTACTGTGCCACAGATGGGGTAATGGTAAACCTCAAGTGGATTATAAGTACATCAAAAGTGTACTTAAATAAAAGTACTTGTTACAGTCCACCACTGTATTCAAGATTTAAATTTTTCTGCAAATATAAATCGATTCCAAATATCAGATTTCCGTGATCGCTAATGTTAGCATGTCAGTCAGTAATACTCAATTGTTATTACAAAAAACTCTAACCTGCATTATTTCAAATTATGGAATAAAATTGTTCCGTTGAGACACGTGCAGCATCTTTAAATGTAGTGAAACTGAGCATTCGAGCCAGCAGTGCAGTCCCAGGTTTTCACATTAATTCAACAGTTATGTTTATACTCAATCAAGACTCACTGTATTTTCAAGTCTTACACAGTTAAGTAGCTCTCTGTAGCCCTGGAGGTCCATTCATCAGTGGTTAGAGCATCTGACGGGGCACTGGATAATTCCTGGACGACTGCAGCTTCAGTTGTTTTTATTGGGAAGTCACAGAGAGCTGACTGAAATACACATGTGAAGGAACGTAATAGCAGTGCTTAAGCTCTTTTCAAGACCTCTTCTGACATGAAATGTTAAGTTAAGTTGGAAGTTGTTGTTATTTCAAAATCAAATCAAAGCCCTTAAATAGATGAATTCAGTGTCTGCATGTTTGATTCTCTTTCTAGAGACATTCCCCACTTTGCACTTTGGCTGAACAATGTCAGAAAACAGTTTTTGTCAGATTCACTGCTCTTTGTGTAGTGTCACTGTAACTAACTCCTTATACTTACTTCTAAATGATGGATCTTAGTAACAAGGGAGGATATTCCATGGTTTAGCTAACCACAAGACACTGCCTAAGCTTTCTGGGTAGAGCTCGCACTTAAGAATGTATGTTATGCACATGATAAGACGTAGGCTAATTTGACTGTAATCCTTTGCTTCACAGAGTACTGAACAGTACCAGAACACACTGTTACACCCCTTATTCTATTGTACACTATAGAAAAAACAACAAGTTCCTAATTCTTGTTATTTTAATCTACCTTCAAAAAGTTCAGTTCAATTCATTTATTATTTGTCCCAAGCATAATAACACATAAAACAACAACAGAGAAACAACACCCACTACAGAAGGAGTCACTCTAAACTAGTCCTTAATTAAATTGAAAAGGAGTTTTCATGTTCAGACTGTGGCTATAATCTGTCTAAAGGTCCTCTGGTCTGACTTAAGCCTTTGCTGATATTAAACAGCACATAACACAGCACTTCCAGCTCTGCCTGCACCATCTGTAAATGTGCTGACATTGGATCCACCTGGCCCGCCCGGCTGACTGGGGCTGAGCTTATGAGACACTTCATCAACCTGCCTATCTGTTTTTTCCCACTGCAATCTGTTTCTCTCCATCGGTCTCGTTTCACTCTTCTCCACGGGGGAGCATCTCTAAGATGGCTCACTAACAGCCAACAGCCCCCTTTGATACCAGAAATTCATTCCTGGTCAGATTTTCTAGTTCCTTATATGGTTCTAGTCTGTTTCTCTGTGCGTCCCAGAGGAAGGGGCTAATTGATTTACAAAGAGCAAGTGTATCCCTTCCCCTTTACTTAATGAGTGCGAACAGCTAGTGTGAGAGAAGAGTCATTAGCAGGCTAATGATGGTATACATCAAAAAGAGTACTGTGTCGCTAACAGGTTAGCGGCATAAGGGGTCTAAGGGGTGGACAATGGCCCGGGGTATTGATATGCAGACAGGCAGTCTGCTTGCCCGCCCTCTCCTCATTTAGGACCATATATCTCAATATGGATGACAAGGTATCTCCTTCTGGCTTGTGGCGCGACACGCTGGCTCTTAGTGCTGACGTCCAGAGACATGGAAACAAAAAAGGGGGGGTAGCATTAAAGTGTAATGGCTTTTGTTTATAAGAAAGATAAAAGAGAGTGCAACGGCTCTGACCAATTGGACTCCATGTTCCTGATTTTCTCTCTTACGGTAAATTTTTGTACATCATCAGTGCTGCTGCCTATCACTCCTGCGTGGATGATTGAGAAAGACCTTTCACTTAAATTACTTTGTAATTTGTTTAGATGGCGACATCAGACCATAGCTGTGTGTGTGTGTGTGTGTGTGTGTGTGTGTGTGTGTGTGTGTGTGTGTGTGTGTGTGTGTGTGTGTGTGTGTGTGTGTGTGTTCATGTGTGTGTGTGTGTGTGTTCATGTGTTTTTGTCAGCCATCAGACATGATCTGCCTCAGACCCCAGCCCCCTCCCCACCGGCAGATCAATAGCCCCTGTTTGGACTACCACTAAGAACTCCACAACTGCAGTGATTAGAAAACACATTAGTGTTGATCAATTAGGAGCCAAACGCCTCACTTAATAATTGATGGCTGTTCTGGCATTTTACACACACACAAATGCAGGCGTACACACGCAGCCAGCAGACACTGTTAGTGTGCCTGGCCAAGTGGCAAAGAGAGACAGTGGGCGATCCTCAGACCCAACAAACGCGAGGCGCCACGCTGTATTGACAGGGCCGCCTAGTCTGAATGCCTGATTAGGCTCTCCGGGGCCCCTTTGGCGCTTACACACACACAGACACACAGTCACACGCATTGGACTCCATTAGGCAAAGACAGTGTAGTAGGTGAGATAGACTCCACTTAAGCAGCACTATCCATTTCCCTCAATCGAGCCACAGAGGTGTGTTTGAGCCAGACACCCTGGCTGGGCCTTAAGCGGACACAGAGGAGCCTCACACACACACGCTCACATGCACACATGGGTGTCTCCTGTGGCTACAGTGCTACAAGTCATCAGCACTACAAGTTATCAGCAAGCATTAAGTGAACATGGTGCATGCACACACACACACAGACACTGTATTGCACATTCACCCATGCACTTCTGCTCATCTCCATTGCCCGCAAAGGCTTCAGACTAAGTGGAGTAAAAAAAAAATAAATAAATGCAGTAAATCATAATATATTACTTGAGTGTTTTAAGCACCAAAATAATTTCTTCTTCCTTTTCTTCCAGACTTTAAAGACAGGCCTGACAATGGTGGGTAAAGTTGTCACCCAGTTGGCAGGCACCTTGCCTGCAGGCACCCCAGATGAGGAGGGCACACCTCACAGCACAAGCCGCCGCAGCCCCCACAACCCCGGTGTGGTCACCATCATTGATACGCACAGTGTTGGCGAAGGACAGGTCAGTTTGTCATTTTGTGTGATTCATTTTTTAAAATGTTTGTTCACCCTTTGTTCACTCTTCATATAATATGACTTTTTGCAGTTTTTTACAAACTACACTCTACTCATTTCTGTAATACTTGTGGGTATTATTGGTAGGGTGTAAGGATCAAATTAGGCCAACATTTTGTTTTTTTCTCCTTACTTGGCAAATTAAATGTAAGCAGTGCATTGAATGAATTAAAATCATTTACAGCACACACTGCACATGTACAACATAGCCATGTAAACATACTTAGTACTGTCAGATTTAATAATAATATTGGTCTGTAGTGTTTCTATGTGTGTGACTTTGTTTCAACTCAACAGTTAGAGATTAAATTATTTTTATTGAGCTTATGACCTTACTTTTAGTAAATCTGAAATGCTTTCAAACATCTGCTTTTATTTGCTAGGAATAGCAACTCCTGCAAATGGCACCTGGCCATAATATACAGACAAAGGCTTCATCTGAAAAGTCTAACAATCATGGCCTTGAAGTAATAGGTCATGAAGACAAGCAAAGGTAGAGAACTAGAGTTAGAAAAAAACAACAACAACCATTAAAATGCAAAATGTGTCTATTAAGGAAGAAAATATATGCAGTATTAGACCAAGGTAAATAAATGTCAACAAGGCTAGTAAGTTGTAAATGAGGTGTTAATGAGGTCTCTTCATTGTCATAGATAAAATAGGTCATATTTTTGATGGGATTTGAGGGTCACACTTTCAGACTATAATATGGCCAAGTTATTCTTAAAGGCGATTGGAAGCTAGAAATGGAATATGTTTGGTGGTTAGGGCTATTTCAACTTGCACCAAATGAGAGCATGTATTTAATAAGAGTGCTGTTCATCCAGCAGAGTTCCACACACTTGGTTAATCTATGACAAAGATCACTAAAACTCAGTGTGGAACAATACCTCACTGTGACACTTTCTGTTGGTTGTTCATTTCATTTGTCAGCCATCTGTATATTAGGTTCCTTGTGAGTTGGTACTATTCAAATGGGTGGACCCGCATACATTAGTTCATATTTTCAGTTGTTCATCTTGGTGGATGGTTATGGTATCTTCCCTACAGTGATGACTAAGTTCTAGCCCATGGGTAGGAAACTCTAGTGGCATCCTGTGGCTTTGACAAAAGTGGCAGCAAAGGCAACCGTCACATGATGTACACTGGACCAGAAAGACTTTTTCCTGTACGCTTACATTGTGAAAGACGCGGCAGATTTTTTTTTTTTGGTCAATATTCAGTCCGATAACATTTGAAAAGTCTTGGAAACCTGCAAGATTAAATCATTTTATCCTCATTCCATTTAACGGAGGACTAAACCAGAAGTTAGTCGACTCAGCTGGTGGAAGTCTCAGGTATGCATTCATCCGCGTAATTTCTTTACTGCCGGAAATGGCTTTTTTGGCTTCATGGGCCACTGAGCAGCTTTCATAGGAATGAACGTAATGCTGTCTTAAATGCTGTATCCAGTTCTCGTTATATAGCCATGCTCCAGACAGATGGCTTAAAATGGCTCGTTTGATAGTAAAGTTTGCTGACCACTGTCCTAGCCCTTGAGTTTCACTATGACTCTTGCATTGTAGGGTAAAACCCTCAGACTATAACTGGTCTGAGCCCACTCAGTATTCTGATCCTGCATGGTGGTTAACCAGAAACTGTTACCAGGCGACCATCATTGTTTAATAGAGTGTCAGCTTTACTGGCTCTTAATGCTTACATTCCCCCCTAACTGGACCCTCTATATACATAATGCATACACACACACCAAAGATTAAATTGGCACCAGTTTTTTTCTTGGCTTTTTGCCTCTCTGGTCTTGTCGTATGTGACCCAGGTAAACATAACTTTGGCCTCTGCGGCTTGGTGGGAAACAGGAAAATCTCCAAGGCTGACTTTTTTTCTTCCTCCTGTGGCTTGGACACACTCAGACCCATTCACCTCACTCTGCACAACTCGCTGAAAGGTGTGACTTAGATTTGCTGCATATTTTAACAGCCAAGCTTTTAGCCATGGCCCGTGTTCTAGCAGCCCTGGTAGGAGAGACACTCTGTAAACAGTCAGGTCTGTAACCTCACATGCAGCTCAAGGCTGAGCGAGTGCACCATATGTCAAATAAGGTCTTAACATTCAATTTAGCCATTTTTATGGTGGATTTGGGAGGTAAGTGAGAAGCACGTTTCCAGCCATGTATATTTTTTTCTAGTAGGATTTTTTTCTCACCAAAAAAGTTGTTAGTAGGAGTGGGCGAAATATTCCTAAAAAACGTAATGTTATGGCAGAAACAAAATTAATGAAGATTTGAGAAAATACTTATGTCCATGGTTAACACGCAGTTGTTTGCATTACCTTACTACAGTATTTGTCTTACATTTGCAAACAAATTACAAATGGGTATAGGTTTTTGGAGATGTTATATCCAGGGTCCAGCTTTTTAATGAGTTTCTAGTGTTACTTTTTGGATTGGCGTCATATCCTAAGACCAATGAAATGTGATCACTTTTGTCTTTTCTTTCCAACGTCTGCTTTTGCTGTCATACCGAGTACAATTGGCCAATAATATGGTTATTCTAGACGGCACAGTGTAGTCTGTCGATTTGGTTGTTATTGTAATTAGCTGTTGTGCTCTCCTCACACAATGATTGGCTATCCTTCCATCTGAACTGGGTGCTTTTGCGAAAGGTGGTGACTATTTTCCTGTTTCTGCCCACTTGCACTGTTTACATATTGTTGTAGTTTGATCTAGTACCAATTACTTCAACACTACTAAATCATTCCCTTTGTCTTCCGTAGAGAAGCAGAAAATTACTTACACTTTCATCTATGCTTGTTGCTGCTGTACATAGATATGACCAACATTTGCTGCAATAGTGTATGACACGTCACTCACAAAAGGATACTATTATCATGAACAGTGTGAAAGGACACACCCCTAACTACAGCTACATTTAGGTATATTATAAACTTGGACACAGACAGTAGGGTTGTGTATTGGCAAGAATCTCTGGCGATACGATACGTGTATTGTGATACTGTAAGCAAGGTGATATATTGCGATTTCTCAAATCTAATAGGTCATAGTGTAAATAACATACATCCCTTGCTGTCGGGGGTTTAAACACAACACAAAATGAATCACTCCCATGAATCTTTTCACGTAAACTATAAATTAAAAATCGATTCAGTATCACAAAACATAATTTTGCAATACTGTGTATCAATATTTCCTCACACCTCCAACAGAAAGCATATATAACAATTATGTGGGTCTAACCCTGGTTATGGTTTGAACCATGCCAGTTGCCTTCAACAGGATCTCCCCTTAAAGTCTAAAGAAACGCTAAAAGCTTTTATCCCCTTAATTCTCCTCAGCCACTCCAGAACATGATTAATCACACTGCAGTAGCTGTCACATTTTTAATGAGGCGTGTTAGCATACATAGTACAGTTTGTCAGTGATGTAGCCACCACACACACACACACGCTGCCTTCCCCTTCTCTCTTACACGGTGACTGTAGCCACCCCATAGCCAGTGTGTTGTCTTATAAGCTGGACCTAAGCCTTCAGAAGCAGGCCTGCACTGTGTCACCAGCCGACACACTGTAACCGTACACTGGCCATAAACACTGACTGGGCCGAGCAGGGCAGGGAGGAGGGGAAAGCCAGAAGTGGAGGAGAAATTGGCAGTGAAGGGAGGAGTGAGAGGGTAAGGGGGGCTGATTTTTTGGGAGAATGGGAAAAGGCAGGGATATGATAGAGGTGAGTTCCTGTGTCACTGCGGCAGTCCAGGATATTCCCATCTTTTCCAGGCTTTGAAATTCCTTATTTGGAGCAGCAGCCTCATAACACACAGGCGCACACACTCTCCCCTGTCTAACGACGGGCTTGGTTCTCCGGAGGACACTCCTGTTTCAAAGGGCTCCAGCAGGATTCCCTCACAGAACAACATTGTCTGCCTGCACCATAATAAAAGTGATCTGCTTCATGTCACCAGCCTCTTTCTTTCTTTTTTTCTTTCTTTCTGTTCTCCCCCTTTTTCTTTTTTTCCCTGCTTATTTTCTTGCTTGTAGTCTGAGACGAAGCCCTTTTAGTTTTTAAAGGCTGTTTCTTGTTTGGACTAGTTCCTATTTAAAATGCTCAGCCAGCCTTCCTGACATCGTTAATGCAACGCCGGGGCCAAATTTAACCCTGTGTAAATGTTCCCTCTCTCTCTCTCACACACACACACTCGTTCACCAAGTGGCCTCATGTCTGGGCTTATTTCTAATCTCTCTTCGTGACTAAAGGGGTTCTCTGCCAGCTCCTGGTCTGGGCTCAGCCTTTGTTAGATCCGTCCCAGTCTTGACAGCAGACTTCATGCAGAGATTTAGGAGCAGCCTCTAGTTGTGCAAAGTGACTTATAATTTCATTTTGTTAGGCACGTTTTGAGCCAGAGCTACATTTGACGCCAGTTTCTGCCTGTTTACGGGAAAACCCGCTGTCATGGGGTATTGTCAAAGCCACATGTGAAAAGCCACATTATTGCCAATGTAAATATGTCCATATTCTTGTCTCTGTTGTTGGACCATACCCCGTCCACACTGGTCTCAGTGCAGCCTCTTACTGAAGCACCAGCACCAATAAAATATAGCTCGGATTTAGATGATTTGTTATTTATTTGATTCAGCACAAAGAGAGAGGTTTTGAACAAAAGTGCTTGTTTTCCTATCAGGTAATAAGTGGTTTTCTGATCATTTTCTATCCACAAGAGGGCAATGGCACATTCAGAAAGGAGTTCAACGTCCAGCTATTTCACCATGGAGTGATGTCAAAGCACTGCTGAGTGTGGTGATGATATCAGACCAAACCAAAATGTGAAGAGAAATCCTTGAGCAGGGGAAAGTCCCGTTCTGGGTTCAATGTTCTCATTGTTAGAAAATGATTTGGAGTTTCTTTTTGTGTGTGTGTGTGTGTGTGTCTGTGTGTGTCTGTGTGTGTGTCTGTGTGTGTGTGTGTGTGTGTGTGTGTGTGTGTGTGTGTGTGTGTGTGTGTGTGTGTGTGTGTGTGTGTGTATATATACTCCAGGTCTTGGTGAGTGAGGACTCGGACGGAGAGGGAGTGGTGGCTCACTTCCCAGCTCATGACAAACCCATATCCTGCATGCAATTCAACCCCAGTGGTAAGACACACTTACACACGCACACGCACACACACACACACACACACACACGCACATTTATTTTTGAAGAAGGAGCTAGAGCAAGTTTGGAAGACATAGAAAGGAGGAGAGAGATTACACTTCCATTCAAGTGTGACATAGTGCGTGTTTGGCTCACATGTGGTCGCCTCATCTTTTCTGTTCAGCCAACTCACCCAAATGTATTCACAGTGTGTGTATTCATATTGTACACAATGAACATGTCTTCAGCCTGAGTTTCCCCAATACATGCCTTTACACAAACCTCAAGACACAGACAACGCATGCAAGTCAGACACTGTGTCACATATAGTAAATGGGTGACAGATGCACACATCCTTGTCCTTTTGTTAAATGAGAGACTGAAATAAGCCTACAGTTTTAATCTACACCTGACCTGAACCCTTTTTCATGCAGGGCCAGGTGTATTAACATTGGATAAACATTCAGAAGGCAGAAGGGCTTGAAAAACACTGTAGTAACCTGACAGGTGTTTTTTAAAGCAAGTTTGATTTCTTTTCAGGAAATGTTGTTTTGTGAAGAGCTTTTCAATAAAGTCCGACATTAGTTACAATGGAAACTATTCCCTCCAGAGGAGTCTTATCAGTCAGGCTAGTTTTCAGGCTTCGCTGCAGCTCAGGCTTGACAAGTCTTCCAGACTGTGTTTTCAAGTCAAAGTCAAATTGAAAGCGTATATGCTTTTTGCATAAGGTCTACTTAAAAGTATTACAAGGAGTTTTTAACTGGTTACTTAAGAGTCTCAACACTGATGCCTCAACGAGAAGATTGACTATCTATTTATTCTTTATGCCTGCCACCTGGTCAGATTCCCCTTGAAATCAATGAAATAAGGCAGTAGAAACACTTTCACCAGATTCAACAGAAAATGAAAGCGCTTTAAATTCACCATAATTAATAATTTCTCAAATGGTAAATGGACCTGTACTTGTATAGCGCCTTTCTAGTCTTCACCCTTTCACACACATTGACACAGTGATGGCAAAGTCCATCGAACAGAAACTAACATTCATACACATTCACACACCGATGCACGGCATCGGGAGCAATTTCGGGTTCAGTATCTTGCTCAAGGATACTTCGACATGTGGCACCAGGAGCTGGGGATCGAACCCACAACCTTCCGATTTAGGAACGACCCGCTCTGCCTCTGAGCCACAGCCGCCAACAATCGGTATCTGCGCCAATCAAGGCATTTTTTAACTGATCGGTTTTGAGCTTTATTTACCCGAGAGAGCGTTGGAGAGATAACACAGCCGCACTCAACATGCCACTGCAAGTGCTACAAAAGCCCCACAATGATGGCAGACGATGGGAATAAACACAACAGAATACAGACCGTTCATTCAGGTAACTCAGGCAAAGGCTTCTCTGAAGAAAAACTACCTCCAGACAGCGACAAGGCCACTAATATTACAGAGGGTTTGTTATTGTATACTTTATTGTGTAAAATTAAAAAAAAAAAAAACTTCTAAGATGTAGGCATTTTTTCTTTCTTGATGCATTGCAGAGATATTCAGTCATCAAGCATATACATTGGATTCATTTGAACAGATTGGGGGCTAAAAAACTCCATCAGGACAACCCTAATAATTTTGACCTCTGACTTTAGCCTCATTGTGAAAGTAGCATTTGATTTCATATTAATAGTCATGTAATAATTACATTTTAAAAAATTAAACAAACTGCAGTTATTACAGTTGCATCATTGACTCTGGTCACTATGTTTCTGCTACATGTTTCTTAGTACCTACACATATTTGTTCTTGTTGTATTTATGGGGGTTTCACACATACCCTGTATATGTGATACGTGCAAGGAGTACCTCAGAAGTGGAGGGTTTATTTGTTTTCTTCTTTCACCCATTTCGACCAGAGTTTCTGTTAAACCAGGCTCTGTGCCCTGTCATTCAATAGACATGCTGCCACTCAAGTAACTTTTTTAGAGTTTGTGTACTCTGAGTGCACAAATCAGTGTACTGAAATCCACCTCCATGTCCAAATCTTACGCTCCGTTCTCACCACATTATTTTACTCTGGCATCTCCTTTCCCGTTTTCTTAGCATTGCTGACCTCCACCCCAAATGGAAAGGGACAGTAGATGCTTTGTAAGTGTGAACAGGCAATCTCGTCAAGTCCTGTGTGTGCAGTGTGTCAGTTTGCGTATGGACCTGTTACTCCTGTGGTGTGTGTGTGCAAGCGTGTGTCTTCATGTGTTTTATGCTTTGTGTGTGTGTGTGTGTGTGTGTGTGTGTGTGTGTGTGTGTTGTGTGTGCATGTGCAGTTAATAAAGGAGCTGCTGAGAGATGGCTCTCACCCCATGACCTCCAAGCCCCAAGAATCCTTCACTTACCTAGACTTATGACTAAACTCAGCAGCACTGTCTGAGCAGGAACAGGATGATATTGCAAAGACAGACAAGACATGGTTCTCTAGACGCCACCTACCCCCACCCTCACCTCACCAAACATCACGTACAAAACACCAAGCAGTTCAGTACAGTTTATGGGACAAAAACCTGCTTAAAAGCACGTCAACGAAAGCGACCTATTTTCATCTCTAGAAGTCATAGTCCATTCAGTAGTAACTAGAATGCAAGAGTTGTAGGAAACATTAAAACCTCAAGTGCTACCAGGAAAGTGTAAAGCTGAATGTGTGCTGTAATCTACAAACAAGACACATGTGGAACTTGAGTAAGGCATTTTGAATAAATGAATTATTTTGTTGCAGACAATTACGCTTACATGTGAGAAACCAGCAATGTATCCATTGGAAGTACAACTTCACTGTCTGTAACTGATGAGATAAACAAAAAAAATTCTTAAAACCCACTCCAATGTAGAAATCCAATCCTTGTGTTGGTGTCTAAGTGTATGTGTGTGTCTGGAATCAGAAACATTTGAATCTGTTGGCCTTTCCTTATTTGATGTCCCTTTTTCATTTCTAACTTCTGTTTAATGTGTCTTTTTTTGTTGTTGAGGTTTATATATTACAATGACATGTCAGCTTCTCCTGAATCCTGATACAATACAATCACTAACCACTTGATTCCACCGAGCACGGCTGCAGAGCTTTTCGGGTGTGACGAGACTGCTGGAGCTCAATTCTAGATAATGCTTGTGATTCCAACGGAAGTAATAAAAATAAATAAAACACCATATGCAGACTCCCAGCACCTAACAAGCTTGCTGTTGGAGACCAAAACAGAGCTAAAAGGAAAATTAATATTCATTTTTCAGGTGGCTAGTTCAGTAAAAGTCACTATGCTATGGCAGGTTCTGGAGGTGTCTTTTTGGTCGGCTTTAATTGGACAAAAAAGTGTGTGACCAGTGACATTCAGGTCTTTTTTTCCAACTTTGTTTCTCTTTAACATCCAAGCTAGGTTTTTACAGATGTGCACCGTCAACATGGCACAATGCAGTACACGTGGCAGTTAGTTTCAGTGTAGCGATAAATGCTGAGTCAGCAAGCCGACAGAATCCCCTGTGACCCTTTCCACAAGGCACCGTGCCCTTTACACAATCTTTCTGACTCATTTAACGTGAGCCAAATCTGAAGGGCTAATAAATGTTTAAATCACAACTGAAAACAGCACCAGAAGTGTAGCCAAAAAACACAGATTTCCCCTTTTTTTCATTGCAGTTAGGGCGTGTAATGAGATTAGGATGAATCTTCACACAAGCGTAGAAACTCTTCTTTTCCACTGTTGTGATTGCAGGGCTCCTTTCATCATTGTTTATTCTTATATTCATTTTCATTTCTGAGCAGCCTGCTGTGGAGTGTCCCATAATTAGAGGCCTCTTGATTTGATCAGAGCCCAAATCCTGAGTGACGGGTTCATTGGTCTGGCACTAAGTGAACTCTTTCCAAGGAGTTAGGGGAAGTGGCTTTCACTGAACTACCTTCCTAGCCCTTCTGAGCCTCCCTTCACAGTGGTCAAGCTCAACATGGCAGAAACAAGAAAGATAGACTTAGCAGGAAACAATGATATGACTCAAACAGAGCCTGGAAAGCCCAGAAGTTTTGGCTGGGAAGAGTTATGTAAGAAACCCCAGTGGCTTGTGTGTGTTGGAGGCTCTACAGAGGGCGGACCGGTGGCCGCCAGTTCTTGGTGTAGCGGCTGGCGCTTTGCGGTGCTTCGGTGGATCTGTGGATCTATTCCTAGTGGTGTAATTAGAGGGACGCAGATGAAGTGCAGTGGCAAAGCGCTCTCTTTAACAGCTGCAATGTGTGTGTGCTTGTTTTCTTTCACGTCTCGTCCTCTTCACTTGTCCTTAACGATCCTTGACTTGATTATTAGGTACGATGCCAAGGTCAAAATACACTCATGTTTTGATGGCAGAGATATTGTCCAACAACTTGTGCATTACTTTTGACTGTGACTGGCACTAGATGGAGTGATTGATCCAGCAACCATGCAAGTCACCACCCTCTGCTCTTTATTTTCTCTCTCTTTTTCTACAGTCCTCCTGAGTCTTATCAGGATCAAGTGCTTTGCTAGCGGTGGAAAAATAATTCAGATCCTTTTTATTTAGTCCTGCATTTAAAACTTTACTTGATCCAAATAACATAAATATTATCAGGAACATGCATTTAAGTATCAAAACTAAAAGTATTCATTATGGAGTATTGCTTATTTAAGAATGAATTATATATATTTAAAATGACATCATTGCTACTGTTGCATTAATGTGTAAGCAGTATTTTAATGTTGAGCTAATTGTAACTACTTTGAGTACAGTAGCAGTTTCATTACAATCTCTCATATTTTGTGAATGATCACAAGGGCTTTGTTTCCACTGGGGATGTGGGGCACATTTCCCTCTTACTTTTCCATCTTTGTCTCCACCACTTAGCTGACTGCAGTCTGTGTACAGTGCCCTCCACTAATGAATATAAGCATTAGTTGTTTTCCTTAAGATGTGTATGTACACCTTTTTGACTCACTTTCAGTTATTACATAAG